GCAGGTTCTCTTCTAGTGGCTAGGAAATATCTTGTGGGTGTGGACAAAACTACAAGTCCCACAGGCTGAGAGCCCACACCTGCTTCCTGGGAGAGGGTATATGGGCAGGATACCAGGGCCCACCAGATGAAGTGAAGGGAATGAGATTGGCTCCTGAGTCAAAAGTAGTGGCAACCAACCTCCTCCCTTCCTTAGAATTCTTGAAGATTTATGGTAGCCAGAGCAGGTAACCAGGCATAGTGCTTCGCCTCATGTTACCTAATTCTCAAAGCTGGTCTGGGGTACAGAATTGAAAACTGAGGTAGAGCCCCAGTTATCAGCACAAGTTTGCTGGGTCAGTGTGTGGAGGGATCGGGAAGTCTCCCCAAGCAGACCTGGGCTCAACCACATTTGCTGCTACCAACCATACATGTCTGGTCAGTCACCCTGTCTTGGCCAGCTGATCCACAGGGATAAGAAATGCTAGTTGTTCAATCTACTGCTGTATCCATGGAGGGATACCTAATCCTGCCTGCATGTCCCTGACTTCCTGATATCAAGATGATGGCACAGGATGCTGATTTCCCCCACTGGGGGTACACAGGAAGACCTCCCCCCTCCAACAACAAAGATGAACAGTTCTTGGACTTAGGGAGAAGGTACTAGCAACAAGCTGGTTCTTTCTGGTTGTTATGGTGGTGGTGGAGTATTGTAAAACATTACAATAGGAGAGAGCAATTTTCTGCCATTCAAAGGGGACCCCTGGGAACCAGGCCCTCAGACATCATGATGTTAACATGTCTTCCTAAGACTCTGGAAGACAAACTGCTCTTTGATTCGTTACATTAACCTGAACTCCTAGAAGGTCATGGACGCTGAAAGGTGGCCCTGGTACCGATGGTAGAGAGATCGCACACTTGTTTATAGTGATTATACTAGGACTGTGCCAAGGGCTGCATGAGTCAATTATTACCACAACTTTTGAGGCAGGGACTCACTCTGCAGCCAAGCTGAGCTGGATGGAACTAGAAATGTAGTTCATGGCAGTCCTACCTCAGTCACCCCGAGTGCTGGGATGACAGGCAAGAACCATGGCACTCAGATACCATTCTTTAGAGACAGTGGGGAGGCTCAAAGAGGTCAAGAGGCTTACTCTGGTCACAAAGCTATTCTACACACCTCAGCATACCCTAAGATACTGTCTTTGCTGCTGCTAGAGTTGGAGTAGCTGTGATTCATACAGGATGCAGTTGCAAGGGAAGAGAGAAACTAACATCAGAAAGGGGTGGAACAATTCAAGCATCATGTAGTTCCTTGGCCCTGGGACAGAGAAGCCAAACTCTGCAGATGGCTCCTCATGGCCCCTACCTACATCATACCTACCTATGGCAGTGTGTTTATACCAGGACATGTCCCTCCTCTGGAAGACAGGGCACAGTGCTGTTAGCTTTCTGCTCCCCAGACACTCTGGTGGAAAACAAGATAGCCTCTGGGCTCAGGGTCTGTGGATTTTAGAGACTCCCAGCCTTGGTCTAAGCCACCAACAATCCCTGATGAAAGCAGAAATCACTGCACCCAGCCTGCACCTTAGCTGTGACCTCCCAGTGATTTCTAGGAACAAGGTCATTAGACCTGGGGTTTCCACATAGGCCTGAGTTTGGCTGTACTCTCCCAGAGGATCAGCCTGGGGTTTGTGCCCATCTAATGTCAAGACTGACACACCAGGTCTTTTATAAAGATTCAGATGGAACTAATTCCGTTTTCCTCCCTTATCACTTTGCACACATGAAATCTATTTTTAATTACCTTTCAATATATAATCTAAAAAAAAAATTCCACAGCTTGCTCCCACCCTCAAATTGTTCTTACAGAAAGAAAGATTTATCTTGTAAGTTTCTTAAGAAAATCTATATGTGCTCAATGCATTTAAATAACACTCATTAAAGCAAACCGCAGGCATGCTGGCTTCTCTAGTCACAGATGAGAGACAATCGCTTGACCTACAGCAAATCAAAAGGCATTTTGCACACCACCTTTCTTTTTCAATTGGTTAAGTTTTAAATTAAAGTCCCAAAGCCCTTTTTGGGAAGGCGGACTAATGGAACCTCGACTGAAAATTTCGTTCAGTCTATCGGAAGATAATTACAAGAAACAAAATGTGAAATTTTAAATCAGGGCACTAATGAAGTCTAAAAATACCAGTGGCCCATCCCTCTGGCTGGCAAGACCTGTTCTTTGTGGAGGGGATCTCTCTGCATAATTACTCAACCCCATGAGAGGCCAGGTTGTCTCATCAAACAATAGTAAGGCTCAAAAAAAAAAAAAAAAAAAAAAAAAAAAAAAAAAAGCCATAGGATTGTAATGAGCTAGATCGTGCATGGTGGATCTTATTATAATGCTGGGCAAGGTTTCAAACAGACACTAGCAGAAAGAGAAAATTCTTCTTTTCTTTTTCTTCATTTCCCCCCCCCCCTTTTTTTTTTTTTTTTTTTTTAAAGTGGAGTTCTGATTTGTGTTGATAACATCATGTGGCGCCCTGTTCCTGCCTGGAGCCAGCTGTCTGTCATTTAGGAGTGTGAAATCAATTGAGTTTCAGGGATGTAAAATCCCTAGGGGCAAAATTAAAAATGACCCAAATCCAAACCCACGTGGTGCCCGTCACAATTATGACTCTCCCATGGCAAGTTGCAAAGATTTGGTTTCAAAATTTGGGTTTCTTTCTTTCTTCCTTTTTTTTTCCCCCTAAATGTAGTTGTTTGACAGTAGACCTGACAGATAAATTATAGCTGCAGCAATAAAGGCTTTTAAGATTAGAAGTGAAAGGAGAATTTAGCTAAAAAATAAAAACCCACTCAGGCTTGAGCGTTGAGCATTTGTACACATACTGTCCCTTGTCTTCCTTCACAAATAAAGGGGAATCTACTGGCCAGCAAAGACAATACACAGATATATGAATGACTGAAATCTCTGGGCAAACAGCTGGACTGTGGTACACCAATGGAAAGCAGAGTGGACAGGTCACACACAGTCACTAGCCAGAGCTGGAAGACTCCGAAGACTCCCCAGCAGATGCAGGAGATACTTTCTGGATTTTGCTTCCTGCCTCTCACCCAGACCCAGTCTACCCTATGGGGTTGGTATAGCAAAAGCATTGGGGCCACATGGCCCTGTAAGGCTTGGGGCCACAGAGGTTAGGCCACACTCCTTGGCCTTCTGCAATTGTCCCAGGAGCAGCTCTGCATAGTTCAATGACCTGGTAGGCTCAGCTGTCCAATCTTACCAACCCTCAAGGGTGAGGGTGTTCAGGGACAGCCTGCTTTCTAGCCATGTTCAGAGAGATGGATTCTAGCTCAGTGTTCAGCCCTAGATCAGGAAACTCTGTGGCCAGCTAAGTTGGTTCCCTTCTGTACAGTTTTTATTCTCTAGGTATATGTCTGGAACTTGAAAAGCCAGCAAGACCTCTCATCGGCCTTAGCAGGCCTCTCCCTGTGGGGACACTAAAGCGGCCTAGTGCTTCTAGCTTTGGGATAGTCTTGGACAGCTGTGATCCCACAGTTCTCTCTCTGTGCATGTATGTGCTTTTGTTCTTTGGGCTAGTTTCTTCTTTCTTTCTTTCTTTCTTCCTTCCTTCCTTCCTTTCTTTCTTCCTTTTTTCTTTTTTAAGGAGAAGGGTTTCTAAGCCAAAACAGTTCAAAGAAGAAATTAATTTAGTCTCTTTCTATATAAAAAATAAATTTTAAACAGAGCAAGAGTTTACCAGATTTCAGGTGTAATTTTCTATAATTGGTCATTTAAAACTAGTGCTGATTTCCCAAACAAAGGCCGTGGGATGGAGCTAGGTGCCGGCTTTATGGTTAGGGTTTCTCAGAAAGACTGGAGAATGGCTCAGAAGGATAGTGACAAATATCTGGAGAACAGTGGGCAGAGAGTGACTAATGGCCACACTGCTCTGCTAAGAGGCAGAGGCCTCAGGCGGACTTTCAGGGGTTAAAAGGAAAAGCCATGGCTAGTTGTGTATACTATCTAGCACCACCTACTGGCCCAGTTGAAGGAGACATGGGTACCCTACCAGGCTAAAGTGCTCAGCAGAGACCCTCTTGCCTCCTCCTGTCTCAGGAGCTGCCTAGCCCTGGGGAGGCCTCATAGCCTTCCCTCTGCACATTGCAGGAGCAGGACTTGAGCTGTTTGGAAATGTCCCTGCATCAAGGAAAGGAAAATCTAAGATAGGCACTCTCAAAGCCTCCCCTCCTGGCCCTGGCCCTGCTGTCCCATCCAAACACTGGGACTAGAACCTACCTCTAATGTCCTGTGCCCTGATGCTGTGGTTGTGGCTTGTGCTAAGAACCATGTTGGTATGTGATGTGCTTCCTTTCCCAGCTTCTGTTCCCAAGGAACTACCTTCAAGCTCTTTGCAAGGAAACTCACCTAGGGCTGGGATCTTGGGGCTGGGGTCTTGGGGTCAAGGGTCCCCTGAAGGCTAGCACAGAGCTGTTCTTCCCAGGGACTTACAGAGACCCCTCTAGCCCTTCAAAAATGAAAGCCTTTAAGTGTCTCAGGATGGTAGGAATGTGCCTGGGTCTTGGTCCATTCCTTATCCATAGCTTGGTGGAGAAGGCTTGTCTTGACAGGCACAGGCAGATAGAGGTTTGAATGTCTTTATGGATGGAAAGTGATAGGGCCTCATGGACTCTTCAAGTGACCATTAAGAGGAGTGGGTAGCTCTTGCTCCATCTAGCCTTGGCCTGGCCTGGGGTGAGCATGGCCTGGGCTCTGGACTTTCAGGCTCCCCTCCTCCCTTTTTTTCTTGCTCTAGGAATCCTGTTGTTGCTTATCTCAACAACCACACTGGGGGTCTGCCTGGATTCCCCCACCTAAAGAGGGAGTTTCTACCACAGCTCCTAGCCAGAGATCAATGAGATCAATGAAAGAGCTACCATAAACACACTTCTGTGCTCACTGTTGGAGTGACCAGGCAGGGAGGTACAGACCAGGCACACAGTACGGTGTGTCACGGGACTTACCTTTAGGGTGCCCTGGATCGGTGAACTCGTACTTCCCCACCCCAATTGTCCGTAGCATTTGTAGCCCATGGGCAGAGTCTGTTGTGGGGGGCCCATTGGTGGCAGGAACACTACTGGGGAGAGCAGCAGACGGCTGGGCTGGTGGAGGTGGAGGCAGCAGGGGCCCTGCCATGTGGCCGTTGCCCACAGCAGTGGGTCCCGGGCGGGCTACCTGTCCCACTCCAGGCAAAGTGGATACCGCCAGGGGCTGAGGGCTGCCATACAGGGCCTGGGCAGGCATGTTCACCACCACACTGCTCAGCGGTTGAGAGGGCGCCTGTGGGAGTGAGTAGTGGCCTGGCATCAGCGGGAGCTGGGGCCCCACATGGGGAGGCAGTGAAGGAGTCACGCCGATGACCGGGGCCTGGACGTTCACAGCCGGGCTGAAGGTGGGAGGCTGGGCCACTCCATAGGAGTGTGCAATCAGGGAAGGCTGGTTCCCGGCGGCCACCGTGGTCACCCATGGCCCTGTGCCTGTAAGGGACAGGGAAGAAATGTTACTTTGCTGGTTATATATTTATTCAGCAAATACCAACTATCCCAGGCTTTGGGCTGGGACCTGGAGCAACAACAGTGGACAAGACATTTGTGTTCAAGCACTGGGCAGTTGAAGAATGTGATAAAGCAGGGTTTAGGGATACACACCTTTAACTACCTCCCTCCCCCCGCATTCTGGAGGGAGGAAGAAGCAAGCAGATCTCCATGAGTTTGAGGTTAGCCTGTTTTACATAGCAAGTTCCAGGCCAACCAAGGCTACATATCAAAACTATCTCAAAATAAAATAAAATAAAATGAAAATGTAGGGACGGTTCTAGGACTAGGTGCTTTTAGAGGATATGAACAAATGACAAATGACTATGGGGATCCAGAGAAGGAAGACAGATCTGTCTGGGAGAAATGAAGCACACAAAACAGAGAGAAAATAATTGGAAGCCTTTAAAGAGACCTACGTTCATTTCAGCCCTTCTACTTATGAGCTAAGAGCCCTGGCAAATTGTTTTTGTTCTTCTAGTCTTGTGCTTTAATCCAGACTGAGAATGAAGGCAGAAAGCATATTTGTGAGAAAATAAAACCAACAGCATGTCAATCTTGTGGTGATGTTGCCTCTGTGTTGTATTGCAGTGGACAGGAGGCAAGAGAAGATCAGCAGTGGACAGTGTTTGCAGGGGTTTCAGGTGAGGGCAGAGGATCTTAGCAGTGGACAGTGTTTGCAGGGGTTTCAGGTGAGGGCAGACGATCTTAGCAGTGGACAGTGTTTGCAGGGGTTTCAGGTGAGGGCAGACGATCTTAGCAGTGGACAGTGTTTGCAGGGGTTTCAGGTGAGGGCAGACGATCTTAGCAGTGGACAGTGTTTGCAGGGGTTTCAGGTGAGGGCAGACGATCTTAGCAGTGGACAGTGTTTGCAGGGGTTTCAGGTGAAGGCAGACAATCTTAGCAGTGGACAGTGTTTGCAGGGGTTTCAGGTGAAGGCAGACGATCTTAGCAGTGGACAGTGTTTGCAGGGGTTTCAGGTGAGGGCAGACGATCTTAGCAGTGGACAGTGTTTGCAGGGGTTTCAGGTGAGGGCAGACGATCTTAGCAGTGGACAGTGTTTGCAGGGGTTTCAGGTGAGGCAGAGGATCTTAGCAGTGGACAGTGTTTGCAGGGGTTTCAGGTGAGGGCAGACGATCTTAGCAGTGGACAGTGTTTGCAGGGGTTTCAGGTGAGGGCAGACGATCTTAGCAGTGGACAGTGTTTGCAGGGGTTTCAGGTGAAGGCAGACGATCTTAGCAGTGGACAGTGTTTGCAGGGTTTCAGGTGAGGGCAGACGATCTTAGCAGTGGGCAGTGTTTGCAGGGGTTTCAGGTGAGGGCAGAGGATCTTGAAGATGACAATGGAAAGATAGCACCTGGAAAGATGTGATGGAGTCCAGGAAATCCTGGAGGATGTGAAGGGACTCCAGGCCCTGTCTCACACACCCTCCACATAGCTAGCTCTGTTAGAAACAGGAGGAGCCTAGCTTGGCTCTTAAGGTAGTTTTAGGGGAACAAGAAAGGCCAGGCACCTCTTAGGATGTGTTGCAAGGTGAAAGGCCAGTGATGCCCAGGTCAGGCAGAGCAAGGCCAGGGTCTACCTGGGGCTTATCTGACATTGAAGTGTCCCAGAATGGCTTGTGAGGAAGCTGGAAGACACAATGACAGGGATTCTAGTCTGGTCACCTCTGATTTAATGGATAATGGGCCTCCATTGTCCTCATCCAGCCTCCATTGTCTTGATTCCTCTGGGGCTTGGGTGTAGACTGAGAATGGGGAGATTAAGGCAGGAGACTGGGAACCCTGGAGGCCAGAAGGACTGGGAGTTCCCTCTCAGACATAAGATGATAAAGGAGGGCAGGAGCCCAAATGGCACAGTGACACTCAAACCAGCAGGGGGCACTGAGTGAGGACAAGGGGTCAGAATGAACCAGCTCTGAGTCCTGGTTCTGGTTCCAGACTAGTGACAGGCATGCCTTTCCTATCTCAGTTTCCTCATCTGCAGTAGGCACAACAATACCAGTGTCTAGGACTGCTATAAGTGTTGAGTTCACACACAGAACAAGGAACACAATAAGGTGCAAGAAATATTTATGATTCGCCTGATGAGAGAGGAAAACTGCAAGCCAAGAAATACTGGCAATGTATTGCTGGCTAGATTCTAGAATAGGCTGGTGTGTGTGTGTGTGTGTGTGTGTGTGTGTGTGTGCCCAAGCTAAACAGAGGATGTGAGAGCAACATAAGCTAGTATAGCTGGAAGTCTCAAGGCCAAGGCTTATCACCCTAAACTCAGTGCCCCCCCCCCCCAGGACTAACTAGGGAACCTGGGAAGATGCATTAAAATGTCAGAGTCTGGCTGACAAGACCACAGATAGCTCTGAGATGCTATGCCATGGAGTTTTTTGTATGTTTGCTTGCTTTTTTTTTGTTTGTTTGGTTTTTTTTTTTGTTTGTTTTGTTTTTCTTCTTTTTGATGAGATGAATGCCTGACAGGGGCTGGGGCCTATAGAGAGGCCTCTGGTCACTCACAGAAAACCCTGATCACTGTTTTTAATCAATGACTTAGAAGCTATCAGGGTGGGCTATGAAGAATACAATTCTGGGGAAACAGGGAACAGAGCACAGAAAAGAAAACACCCCCAAAAACCAGCACTTGAGATCACAGTGGCCCCATTTGTGAGGGAGTGGAGGGATCTGTTCTTAGGTTCCCAAACCCAGGTACCTGAGCCCAATTATGAAGAGGTGGCTTTGTGACAAACTTGAGTTTTACCTCTGGGAGAGGATATGGTGTCTGTGGACTGAACTGCTATGCTTTGGAACTGTAATGCTAGAGTACGTGTGAGGCATTAAGTGGATTGCTAGCACTGAGTTGTGGCGTTGTGCTTTAGAGGGACACAGAAAGAGTAACTAGCAAGTGAAGGGACTGGAATTACAAGCTTTAGGGTAGAGTGGATGCTGGGTTGGGGCTGGCAGAATACATGAAGCTGGGGGCGTATCTCTGGGTATCTGTACCAAAGTGGGATGTAGGGTGTGGTGAGTGCTGCCAGGAGCTGTCAGCAGGAGGACCAAGATGCTGTGGGAGGAGGAGATCCCAGTCCTGGGGCCAGAACACCCCGGTGCTCATGCAACCATGGGCAAGGCAAAATCTTCCCGGAATGTGACTTGAGAAACTTGGGGTTCCACATATCCCACATGGATCAGGACCTCTGGAGAAGAACAGGGCATCCAGCAAGTGGGTGCCTCTGTCAGCTGATAGACACACACCTGGATTGTCGCTCTCCCTCATCTGTTTGGAGGGCGGCTCATCAGTGTCCCAGGGTGTGGACTGATTGATGGGCGTCTGGCCCCATCGAATGCTGGTCGTGAGTCCCTGGGACTGATTGTCGGCTTTGGAAATGCCTGGAGCCTGTGGGAAATAGATAACAATGGTGAGCATAAACTTCCCCAGGACCCTGCCTGGAACCCCTTCCTTCAGAAATATCCCTGGAACCTGAGATTTGTCTACTTGGTTCATGGGCAGAGAGATAGCCTGCACCCAGCCCCACTAATGCTGGGACCTCTGCTTCCTTCCCAGCAAGGATCATGGGGCCTCTGATGAGCTCCTAGCCTCCAGAACTCCAAGCTGGAGCCTTGGGACTGATGGGAGCATTCTGGTGTGCAGACACCTCAGCCTTCAGACTGTCAATAACCCACTGTATCCCAAATGCTACCCACTTATCCAGGGTATGGGCTGAGCACTGACTGTACCCACTCAGTCTCAGTCCACCAGATGCCCAGCATTTGCAGCTGCTGCCTGAGAATTCCTAATGAGATGGCAAAAGGTGTGCTCTGCAGAACACTGTCATCAGGTGGCAAATGAGAGCCACTGCACATTCTCCACCCTTCTCCTACACATGCTGTTGAGATCCTGCCATCCCATGGAGGAAGGGAAGGGGTTATGGAAGCTGGTAGGACAGGTCATGTCATACCCCAAGTAGGAGGAACCATGGCCCCTTGGAGAAGTAAGGGGGTTTGCTTTCTGTGTGAGTTCACCTTCTGATTTAGCTGCATAGATGTACAAGAAAAGGATTCTCAGAATGAAAGCAAATGTCAAGTGACAGTGGCCCCCTGGGCTATAGTCCTGATAGAACACTGGCTACTAGGAAGCATGCTTTCTAGAAGTTCATAATGAGAAAGCAAAACCCTCCCACTGTGATGCTGATGAGAAAAGCAAGGCCACAAGATTACACCCATGTGACCTCCCTACAGAAACCATCCTGTGGTTGAAAAATGTTTGTGACAGGGGAATGACCCAGATATCAGCAAGATGTTATCTTTGGATGAGAGGATTATAGGTAACTTCTTGTCTACATTATTTTGCACTGGTTAAAATAAATGGTTTAGGGAACCAAACTCAGGATGTTGCACATGTTTTGTAAGTGTTCTGTTACTGATCCACATCCCCAGATCTTTTTTTTTTTTTTTTTTTTTTTTTTAAGGGTTTGTATTCCAGGCTGCCTTTGAACTCATAACCTTCCTAGCTCTCACTTCAAATGCTAGGATTACAGCCATGTATAAGCACATCTAAATGCCAAATTTCCTACAATGGCCATTATTTATAAACAATAAAAATAAATCTTAAACATATGGTAGAAGCTGGGAGCAGAGGGGCGAGGATCTCAGTGGCGGGGACTTTTAGAAGAGTCTTCACAGATCCTGGAAACCCAGTTCTGCCTAGGGAAGCATGTGGACGTTGTTCTTTCCAGTGACACTTGCAGAAACATGTGCAGGTGAAAGTCACAATGCTTGTAGCATATTCTCATAGAGCGTGGCCCAATGGTGGAGCTGGAGGATAAGCTCCCTGTGGGCCATTGGGCAGGGTGATTCCCCTGGGTCCTAGGCCAGGCACAAAGCAGGGGGTGTGGGCAGTAGGCTGGGCAGGGCTTCTGGAGCCTTTGCTCTATCCCACTTTGGCACACAGACTACAGCAGGACCTGCTGGGACAGCAGGAGCCAGACAGCACTGAGACCTGGGGCGGTGCAGAGCTAATTGCATTAGGGTGCACTTTACCTCTAGCCTGTGATTCAGAAGCTCCACTCCTATGAACAGGGTGTGGAAAGGAGGGTGAGTCTCCCAAGAAAAAAGAAACAATTCTCTGGACAAATGTTCTAATCGGAGACCCTACTCCTGCTGTGGCATGGATGAGATTGAAAGGGGGGTAGTGAGATACAAAATGGGGGTCTGGGACATAGCCACAATGGTGATGAGGCATAGGAACCATGGGGGAGGCTTCTCTTGAGTTCTCTGAAGGGGCATCTTTCAGCATGTGCCCCGTCTGGAAGCAGAAGCTATCTAGCTATCTGCAGCCCTTATTTCCAGGCTCCAGGCTCATGGTGGGGTTAGGGGCCCAGAGATGGCTTCTGAAACCAGAGGCATTGGAGAAGGGTGAGTCTGTGTTATACCTTATTCAAGAGCCTTGTTAGACACATTTGAACGCTGCTGGGACCCCTAGCCTCCTTGCCAGCAAGCCTCTTCGCTGATAAGCCTCTTCTGCCAGGAGGGGGCGCTGCAGCCCCTCTCTGCTGCCAGTGTCCCAGAGGCTTCCCAGATAGGAAACAGCTTTGCTTAAGATTTCACAATGTTCTTCCCTGCCACCATTTCTGCACTGCTGGGTCCTCACGGCAACTTAACCAGGGAGGGAAGCCTTCTGGAAACAAACCCTGAGATTGCCACTACCGCCAGGAACTCTGGTTGGTTTTTTTGTTTGTTTGTTTTTTTTGTATGTTTGTTTTTTTTCCCTTTGAGTTTGGGTCGTCAGGTTCTATGCTATAAAACTTAGGGAATTTTAATGTTTGCCCAGAAATGAGGGGAGCTTCTGCATTAGAAAAATTGCATATTTCTCTGACACATTGCTTAGGCTTATGCAATGTGTCACTCTTTTATGCCTTGGTTTGTTCTTTGGTAAATAGCTATTGGGCTGGGGTTCTGTGTTACGCGTTGGCCAGGGCAGTGGTGATGTGGGCTATTTGGACTGCAGCAGAGAATACCAGTGCACAGTACAAACGCTGGTGTACCCCAAACAGAAGCTGGGTGCTCTAGTGTGCATAGGCTGATCCAAGACCACGGGGAGATTACCCGGCTGTCAGGCCTCCTGTTGGCTATGTCTTTCATGATCAGTACAAGCAGTTTCTGAGACTGAAGAAAGCCAGTCCGAAGTCCACCCTGCCCTGCCCCCTTTAGGAATGATAACTGAAACCACTCCCATTCTACTTTAGCACCATCTTTAGCAGGAAGCAGTTTGCAGCTCAGGAATTTTATTTTATTAAAGCAATCACATGAATATTCCTTTCTTGATTCTGTCAACAAACAACTTAGATGCAGGAGTTGCTTTTTGTGGATTTGTCCAGGGCTTTCAGGGAAGACATATATGGACTGACCTGTATAGTGTGTGAATCAGGAAGCCTGACCAGGGGCCCTTTCCTTCTGCCAATGGCTTTAGGCCCCAAATAATCACATGCAGACTGCAGATTCTAGAGATCCCGGGGACCCTGTAAGGGTCTGTGACTGTAGTTCTGAACTCCCCTCTCATGGTTTTGAATTCCCACATATCTGGGATCCCTAGGAGCAATCTAGGCTGTTCCCAGCTTGAGTGAGGACTTGCCTTAGGGCAGGAGAGCAGGGGTGGGGTCAGGGTGTAGTACAGGGTAGGCTGCCAGGATAATAAGAAAGAACAGCTTCCCAGCCATAGGGCAGAAGCGGGCTGAGCAGGGTCTCTGTCCCTTCTCACTAGTTCCCACTGCCATTCTCTGCAACACCTGGGAAGCCACATAGACTGAGACCTTTTGACTTTCCCTGGCCCTGGCCAGGAACATGGCGGCACTCATCAGGAGAGGCCCGCCAGAATAGCCTTCGCTACTAGCTCTGCAGAGTGGCCCTATCTGCCCATCACTAGGCTTGAGCCGCCTTCTCTCAGCTTCCCTTTAATGAGATGCTAATGGGATGCATCATTAACACAGCAGCTTTTTAAACCCCGGCTCTTGTAAATTTTCAAAGGTCACATTTTTACGGTGCCTGACAGCATCCTGCTCCTTTCAGACATTGAAGAACACTAAAGACCCAGGGCCTTTATGGCTGAAGCTCTGTGAGGCGGCTGCACAGGCTGAAGGCACCTGCTGGCAATGGGCAGTTCCCCCCCAACCCCCCATTCCACTGCCTCTAGCCCTCAGCAGCTTTATAGGGAATGAGGGCTACCCTCTTCCAGCTTGGGAGCCCAGGTACACAGTTTCACATGGTTCACAGCGTTGCTCTCAGAATACAAAGATCCCTGGCAGAGGGTCAAGGGAGATGCCACCCAGCTGGGGAGGCAGTGTATTGAACTCTCATGGAAGACCTTCTGCTTGGGCTTTGCATGTGCAAGTCTACAGTAGCCAGAGCACCTGTGTTCTGCTGGTCAGTCTAACCAGAGAGAGGGCATGTCTCTACTTCTCACATTTGCAGCAACTGAGTGGTCAGGAAGGTTTGAATGATGTTGGGGACTTAGACTCCCCCGGGGCTGTCTCAGTCCTTGCTTGTTCTTAGCTCTCTGCATGATCACAACGCCGAGTGCACGGCCCAGGCCCAGAAGGTCCTGTTGACCCTGTCCTGGCAGGCAAACTCCATGAAGACAGATGCTCAGTGCCATGCCTGGCCCAGTAGGTGCTATGCCTGGCCCAGCTGTCCTCAGGATGAAAGCTGAGTTTAGGAGCTGTTGGCATGGGCCAACAGGAGCAGCGACAACACTACCAGTTCAAGGAATGAATGAATCTACAGAGCATGCTTCAGGAAGAGTGGAATGTGAAGGCCATGGAGCAGAGCCCTGGGAGAGTCTGGTTCTGCTCTCCAGGGACCACCAAATGGCTCTTTAGCCACGGAGGCTGCTGAAGGTCATTTAGAGGCTTGGCTAATAGCAGCCACTACCAATAGCCAGAGATTAGTGATCCTCCCTGAGTGCCTGGGTGTGGAAGCAGTGCAGGATGCTGAGGCTGACTCTTGCTAAGGATGCCTCCTTGGAAATCCCAAATACTGCGTCGTCCACTCTTTTCCCAAGGACATGGAAAGAACCAGGAAATCCTCCAGAGCTTCTGGAAGAGGTGGATGCGCTGTTACTCAGCGGGGCTGAGTAACAGGGATGGATTGGGGCTAACACTACCACCAAAGGACCCTGGATCAGATGGTAAATTTCCAGCCTTGACACAGGACAGAGCCTACTTCATCCCTCACATGATGTATGTCTTTAATCATGTGGCCAATGATAGCTCACAGACCTGCTCCAGACTGGAACCTGCCATCCTAGATGCCTTACATCTTGGCTACACCTATTGAGTGTCACTGTACATGGTACACTCTCTTGGTCAGCTAAGAGATCTCTTCTTAGCAGAGTGCCTGGAG